CCTGAAAAAGACAGCTGATATCAGAATATCAAGTACAAACTAAAGAATTCTATGAACTTGGAAGAGAAAATCTATCAGGTTGATAAAATTCGTGCTTTGACTTTCAGTAGGCCTTTTTCCAAGCCAAAAAATGATTACAACGAATTAATCTACAATTAATATTATTTTTTATATCGTTCGAATTTTTATTATTTTTTTATAGCTAGTTGGATTGAATTTATGAAAGGCACCAACATAACAAGCGTTAAAAAGAAATTTCCCGGTGTTATATTTATGGTGGCTGTAGGCGGTTGGTATAACGGCGTCCAACCGTTTATTAAATTTACCGATCACAAAGAAAATCAAAAAATTTTCGCCCAAACTGCTCTCGATTTTGTTAAGTAAATTCTTACAACAAATTTTTTCTTTGACACACGTTTTTAAATTGGTTCATTTTTTAGAAAACACAATTTTGATGGGTTAGAATTGTGTTGGTTGTATCCTACAAAAAGAGGTGGTTATATAAGTGATCGAAAAACTTTTGTCGAATTATTAAAAGCAAGTAATAAAATTTATATATAATAATAATAATTTTATAAAATTAATTTATTTTTATATGAATTCAAATTTTACAAATAGATTCTTTCTTTTAGGAAATTAAAATTGTGTTTTCAGAAAATAATTTATTATTCTCAGTTCTTATAAGTGGGGCTTACACGACGATTAGTTCGGGTTACAATGTACCGGAAATTTTTAAAAACGTCGATTTCGTCGATATTATTAGTTATGATTACAATGGATTATGGAGTGATAAAATCGCCCCAAATGCGCCACTTTATAGTAATGATCAAAATAACGTGGTTTGTATAGTTTTTTTCTATTATTAAGTTTAAGTTAACTTCATAAATAAAAATACATCTTTTTTTTATTTAAGTGATAGAAAGTCTTTAACGGTTTCAGATTTTACAAAACTATTTTCAGGGATTATATCAAAAATATCTCATATCCAAGTTAATACATTCCTTCTACTCTTTTTTACATATTAGTTAAATTTGAATGTTTCCGAATAGTTTCATCTTTCCAGATTTTATCTCTTAATGAACTAAATGATATAAAAATGATTACTGATGTGGATTGGAAATGGCAAGTTTTCTTCAATGTTAACATAACGATTTAAGTTAGTGAAAACTATAGGGAAAACCAACAATCAAAGCAATGCAAATACATACTGAAAATATGGAAGGACTACTATGCAGCAAGGTTTAAAAAGGGAAGGAAGGAAAAAGGTTTTGAAGAATGGGTAGAGACTCGAGAAGAAGAAAAGAAAATGGCGGAAGAGAAGTTGTGCAATCCTAAAGGAAATGGAAAACTAGTAGGCGAAGATATCACATACTCTACCTAGCTACAAGAATAATAGGACATTCTGTTTGGCGCCGGTGGTGCTTAAGCGTTACTCGAAAATGTTAAAAAAACGATTCACAGATCTGATAAAGGACAGACTTGAAGAAGAGCAAACGGCGTTTCCTCCTAATAAACAAACACAGCATCATATGTATGCTCTCAGAGACATAATAGAGAAAACAGTAACCAGAAATAAGGATATATCTCTAGCCTTTTTGGACCTAACAAGAATAATTAGACTAAATGTAAAGAGTTAGATTAGATTAGAATGGAAACGGAGACCTACATAGATACAATAATAACACAAGTCAAAACTCAAGTCAGACCGACATGATTGGGATATTCAACCTAACTACAATATGCAAGATAGATCAGAATATACGCAGAGAATATCGTACTAATGTCATGGAAAGTAAATGTCCTATAAAGAAACATCGAAATAATAAAAACCTGTCAAGAGAACGTAATTATAGTAAACAGAAATAAAAACAAGATTCTACAAATCACAAAGGATGAAGGAAAGTATAAGAATAGAAGGACAACGTCTACAGCTAATAGGAAAATACGAATATCTGGAAACCATGTTTAGTGAAGATGGCAAAATAGATTAAGAGATACGCAGATGAACAACAAAAGCAAGTGAAGTCTATAATCAGACAAATACCATCTATATAAAATTATATCTACACAAAACTATATACACTCACCTACGGGTCGGAATCTTGGACAATGAGATGGAATAGTAGGAACTATAGAAGCATATTTAAGTCATCTAGTAGAGAAGATAGATGAGAAACAACTGAAATGATATGACTACCTGTTTCGAACGAATGAGGAAAAAATATCTGTCCATTTAACATGAGACCAGCGATTATCTCGAAAACGGATCATTTCACATAAAAATGAACCAAAGGAAAGTTGTTCTATGCGAAGGGGGAAACCATATGACGATAACATTTTTGACCTTGACCTTATTTTCAAGGTCATATGAAGGTCACGCAAAATTTTTTAAATGGCACCCTATGTTTTTGATTGCAAAATCTGAATCTATGCATAAAAGTAAAGTAATTAAAAAAAAAATAAAAAAATTTTGTTGTGTGGTTTTCCAGTACAACGGCAAAACATCCTTTGAAAAAAATTGAAACAATTTCAGAAACAATTAACTAACGTTTATAATTTAGCAAGAACAAATAAGATTTATGAATTTTTAAACATTTTCCTACCCGCTTTGATACATTGTCTTTAGTTCTTAATTCTTAGAATACTACTATTTAAGAATGCTCAACAAAAAAATCCAGAAGAGGTACATCGGGTGATCCGACTCGTCGGAAATACCTTTGAAAAGAGGTCTAAAAAGTTCCGACATTTCTCCGCCTTTGTCAATTTGATAATAGAATAACGCATAAAAAACAAGAGTTCGTAGAACTACTTATGTCGAAATTTTCAGAATATCGCTTTCAGAGACTTAATTGGTTGAATTGTTTTAAAATGTAACAGCTAAAACTGAATTCGCATAAAAACTGCTTGGCAGCAAATTCTGAATTCATTCCATGGTTTTACATTAAGGCAAAGTGTTTAAACTACATAAGTCATTAAATCGTGGATACTTTAAGTGTGGCAGAAAAAGTCGAAATGATTCTTATTTATGGAGAAAGTGGCAGAAAAGTTGCTGATAGTATAGCTTTGTATCGAGAACGTTTTCCTGATCGAAATACGCCTTCGAGAAGTACCTTTTACAGATTTGTAAATGATTTCACTAACAATGGAAATGAAAAGTCAAGAAAAAGAACTCGGCGAGCAACTGTAACTACGGAAGATAAGGAAATTGCGGTATTAGCTAGCGTTGAGGTAAATCCTCAATATTAAAGCGAAACGAGTATCACTCATACCATATTTCATTGCATCAACAGCTTTATGGAGGTGTTTTTGAAAATCGATTAATATTTTGTCAATGGGCACAAGAACGAATGCGGTTGGACGTCAATTTCTTTGGTAACGTGCTATTCTCGGATGAGTACTTTTACAAACAAAGGGCAAGTCAATAGACATAACATGCACTATTGGAGCGTTAAAAATCCGAGAAGGTTGCGTCAAGTAGAACATCAACGACCTTGGTCGGTTAATGTGTGGTGTGGCATAATTGGTGATAAATACTTCATTGATGGTATGCTGAATAGGGAGAAGTACCGAATTTTTTTAGATGACGTCATACCAACGTTACTTGTAGATTTGAGCAGGGAAGAAAAACAGAATATGTGGCTGCAAAATGATGGGTGTTCAGCACATTTTTCACATATTGCCCGTGAAGTTTAGATCGGGATTATGCTGGGCGACGGATTGGAAGGGGTGGTCCAATTTCCTGCCAGATCACCAAATTTAACACCTCTTGATTTTTTTTTTGTGGGGCGTCCTTAAGGATAATGTTTATCGCGAAGTACCGACTACGCCAGAAAACATGAAAAAGCGGATAAGAAGTGCATGCAGAAATAGTAGCCAAGAAAACTTTTTAAGATGTAAAGAAAGTTTTAGTAGCAGGGTTAATAAATGTATTGAAGTGGGTGAGGAAATATTTGAACATTTATTATAAATTTTATACTTGTTGTCGATTAATAGTATATGTAGTAGAATCATTTTTTTTATAAATAAACAATATTTAAAACTATTTGAATAAGAAAATTATTTCGATTTTGTCTACAAAAGATGTTTCGTCGTTGTACTGGCAAAACCGCACGGTAATTTTTTTTATCCATAGATTTAGATTTTCCAATCAAAAACATAGGGTTATATTTTATTTTTCAAAACGTGTTCGTTTATTGAAAAGAAGACACCCTTATTAACAATTTGGGAAATTTTTATACTCATATTCCAAGAAAAAGGATTTTATACGAATTTTTAAATCTTAATCGACGTAAATTGCAAAATTCGAAAAAATTGTCGATCATTTCAAAAATTTATTTCTCAAGAACTGAAAGCGATTTTTCGGCTTGTTGCATTAAAAGGAGGATACTTTAATTAATAATTGGTGATATTTCCACAAGGATCCTTCAAGAAATGAATTTTATAGCGAATTTTGAAAATTGCAACATCGAAAATTTTATTAAAACTTCAAATATTGTTTTCTCAAAAATCAAAAGAATTTTTCAAAACGTGTTGGTTCATTGGAAAGAAGACACTTTAATTAACACTTTGAGCAATTTTCATACTCATATGCCATGAACTGGATTTTATACGAATTTTTAAAAGTTAATCGGCGAAAGTTGCAAACTTCTAAAAAATTGTCGATCACTTCAAAAATTTATTTCTCAAGAACTGAAAGTGCGTTTTCAAAACGGCTGCTTGCATTAAAAAGAGGATACTTTAGTTAATAATTGGTAATATTTCCACAAGGATCTTTCAAGAAATGAACTTTATAGCGAATTTTGAAAATTATCGATGAAAATTGCAACATCGAAAATTTTATCAAAACTTCAAATATTGTTTTCTCAAAAACTAAAAGTTATTTTTCAAAACGGATTGGTTCATTGAAAAGAGGNAATTTTATAGCGAATTTTGAAAATTATCGATGAAAATTGCAACATCGAAAATTTTATCAAAACTTCAAATATTGTTTTCTCAAAAACTAAGAGTTATTTTTCAAAATGTGTTGCTTCATTGAAAAGAGGACAGTCTTATTAACAATTTGGGAAATTTTCATACTCATATTCCAAGAAAAAGAATTTTATACGAATTTTTAAATCTTAATCGGCGAAAATTGCAAAATTTGAAAAACTTATCGATCATTTCAAAAATTTATTTCTCAAGAAGTAAAAGAGATTTTTCAAAACGGCTTGTTGCATTAAAAAGAGGATACATTCATTAATAATTGGTGATATTTCCCCAAGGATCCTTCACGAATTGAATTTTATAGCGAATTTTGCAAGTTATCGATGAAAATTGCAACATCGAAAATTTTATCAAAACTTCAAATATTGTTTTCTCAAAAACTA